TCCTTTTATGATATATTTATCACATAACTTCTAATGTAACTCCACACTTTTACTTTTCAGTGCAGCAATTGTAAATAGCTGTAAGTTTTTACTCATGAAGACAAATATTTTTGAGACAAAATCAGTTCAGTCTTTGGGTACAGAGTTCATATGGTATCAAAGAAGTCATGACCAAAAAGACAAGTCCATATTAAAATAAAACAAACACCACTGCCACCACCTCAATCAATATCGATACTAAAGAAAAAAAAAACAAAAAACAAAAAACAAAAAACCCAAAAACCAAAAACGTTTGTAGGACATTTTACATCATTTTGATATATTAATTGATTTACATAATTACATGCTAAAGTTGTTTTTATCTAAAGGTACAGAAATTTTTCAAAGCTTATGCTTTAAAATACAAAGGTGACACATTTTATGTGATATTCTCGGCTGCAATAAAATTATGTAGTAACTGATAAGACAACTGTATATGCTACATTCCTTGATGGTTCTGCTGGTCTTAAAAGAGCAAAAAGTAGCTTATGGCATGGAAAAAGGATTAAAAAAATGGATGAAGATGAAACAAATGAATAAAAGCGGAAACCAATTATTTATGATACATTACTGGCAACAGAAATCGCTCCATGGATACTCAGAGAAGCTAATAAAGTTACTTATAAATTCCAAATCAGCTCAAACCCATTTGTATTTTACATAAGGATAAGTTTTTACCTACCAACTCCAGACATCTCCGGAATACTGGCGGTGTACATGTCCTTGGTGAATTTTGGTTCATTGTCATTGATATCATGGATTTTAATGATAAATTCAGACTCTGGCTCCACTTGTCTTCCAGTTTTTCTGTCTATAGCCTTGGCACGAAGCACATACAGGGACTTTTCTTCTCTGTCCAATTTCTTTGCAGCATGAATATCTCCTGTATTTTCATCTATAATGAACAGACTGCCAGCCCCATCTCCTGTTAATATGTATTTTAAATTTCCATCTCCTTTATCTTGGTCAGTGTGTAGCTTCAGAGAGGTAGAAAAGAAGAATTCTATAAATATATGTATTGTTATTACAGACCAAATAATTCAGGATATATGAATAAGTCTGTACAATCTTGACTATAACTGGGGTCAGTAGTGGTTATCTTCTGTTTCACTGTTGGAAAAATTGAAAATTTTAGACTCAGTCATACACAAAAAATAGCTTTTATCAAACTCATGAGGACACAGGAGGATGTAGAATATATTGGAACAGTACTTAAAATAATCAACTTAAAACAAAAAATTATATTTCTTTGAACAGTCTGAACTGACTAGAAATGACCAGAACTCACCTTTTTTAAGATGACAGGGGGTGTAAAACTCCCAGGTAAATAATCCTTGCCTTGCCATTTACTGGTTGATGATAAGGCAAGCAGTTAACTTGAAACAACATAGAAGAATGGATTTTAAGGATTAGAGCTTCTGAACTTCCACACATTACCTGTAAATATTCTGATTTAAGTAATTTATGTTTCTAGTTGTCTTCCTTTCATTTTCCTTTTTTCCTTTAGGAACATCTTACCTCAGTTAATTATTTTCTTCCTTCTAGTCCTCCCCACATAGAAGAAATAATTTTCAAGAACACTAGGAGGTAAATTTTCAAAGGATAAAAGCAGGTTTAACAGTCCTTTTCCTACTCCACCTCTTGTTAAGAGTTCAAAACACTGTCACTGTGAGCTTACAGGCACTGGTTATTTCTCATATAACACCATTATGAAAAAGTGCCTAAAACCAAAGACAAAACAAGTCACTGAAGCTGACCCAGGCACCAGAAATTCTCACATAATCCTCTTCTTCAGAAGTCTATTCTTCTAATTTCATTTGCAGGGACATATAGTTCCTTTCTATGAGCTTCTGCAGGATGTTTTCATTAGATATATGCTTATAGTCACATCTGGCCACAGATCAGTGACCTGAGTGTTTATCAAATGAGGACAGAGTGTTATCCAAGCATTGTTTTACTTCTCTAAGTAGAAAAATATAGTATATCATCAACCTGAGAAAATACCAGTAATCAGTATCAGAAAATACAGTATCAGTAAAGGTATTCTAAATAGTCACTAGAGCAGTAAGTTATTTTTTCCACATCTTGCTTTGTTTCTGCCTTCTTACCAGTGTTTACCTCATGAGTTACTGCAAATTTTTTATTACTTTACCTATATGAAGGATGATTGAAATCGATTTTGCTCAAATTCTTCACCTATTTTTTTTATTTTAACAATGTAGCGTAACACTAGTCATCAACTATTACGTGGTTATTGTTTTGGGCTTCCAGAGGTAAGACTGGATGAGATGACCATCCAGTTTTAGCACTTAATATAATCAGAGTATATGCATAATAAATAGCTGTGAAAATTATTAAGGATTGCAAACAGTGGGTTGAATCACTTATATAAAACATGCCTGTAGCACTTAAAAAAAAAAAGTTTCTGTCAACTTGCAGTTCTACAGATAATACAGAGAAAATAAACTGCAAAACTTTATGGGAATCTTGACACAGAATACAAAGCATTAAGTAATCAGTTTCAAAGTTAATGAAAAATATTTGATTCTTATATTCATATTCGATTTAGCAAAAAAAAGTAGACTTCAAATACAAAATATGGCATATTTCTTTCTGTCGGATGATTTTGTCTTGCATTGCGCAGAACAATTTCCTGTTCCTCAGAAACAGTGCATACTCCTTCTTACTGAGATATTCTTCACTTTGTGATCGAAGCACGATTTTATCTTTTTTCTTGAGTTTGAAGATTTTTAAAATATACCAAATAAGAATCAGATCTTCAGGACTGATGACTAGCACCTGAACTCATCGTTCTCATGAAGATGAATCAGCTTTTTTTGAGTCTTTAAAATGTCCAAATATTTGTTACAATGCCTTTGTTGTTATGTGCCTCCTTAGCATGGTCAGCCAGCCAAACAGGGGTTCAGCCAGGGTAAGAACTGTGCCTAGGGACACCATGAGGGATCAGTCTCATGGATAAGGAGAAGAGAAATAATTTAATATAAGGTTTAGGGAAGTTGGAGCCTCTGAGAAAATAACATCCTTTCTCAACACCTAATATAAGGAAGCACTTCTTGATTTTCACGCTACGAATCACTGCTGACTAATCAGTAATTTATTAAACTGTTTATAGTATTAACATTAGTCATGTACATGCTTATATTGTATAAGTTCTCAAAAGTTAAGTAGTTGTACATTCATTACTGAAGGAAAATACTGCACAGTTCTGAACTGAAAAATAAGAGAATGGGGTAGGAAATATTATGAGATTTTTAAATTTGTCTTGATATAGAACAGAGAGCTAAATTCTTTATTTAAATAAACACATACAGTAGACATGGAATTTTATCAGAAATAATAATTATATAACATGCATTTTATTGGAATTATATTTTAATGTGGTTAAGTGTAGTAGTAATGAAGTTCATTTTTGAAAACCTGTTAGATATTTTTCCCAGACAGTTCTGCTACCTAAAGAATCTTTCAGAGAATGTAAATTAATATGCAGTTAGCACAGAGCTGGTGATCTGCTAAGAAGAGGTCCTATATAGTAAAAGAATACAGATGCAGATGAGCATTAGGCTGTGAATGTAAATACTGTTAGCTTGCCAATCTCATTTTGACTGCTCAGATGAGCAACTCTGTTTGTATTCCAGGGTCAACAACACCTTGAAAAGGACAACAATAAGCAAGTAGTGGGAGCAGTGATCTTTTCTATGCTAACAAGTGGTTCTGACAAAGAAATTACATCTGTCCAGTGGCATTCCTTTACCCAGCTTCTCATAGACTCCCAGAGATTAGGTTAGCTTAATTCATCTGTCTTTTCAAACTAACTACAAAGATGTCAGCTAGCTCAAAATGTGATGTGTATTTTAGGCTTCCTACTTATCTCATGTTTCTATGAAGTGATAAACAGAATTTTCAAGCATGAGAAAATTGTAAATAGATAGTGATTTCCTAAGAATGAATAGTTCCACCTCTTATTCCCAATTTATTATTAGAAAGATCACAGAAAGTTGAAGTATTTTGGTTTGGTTAACTCTACATGACTTTTTTTTCTCTATTTGGAGGGGGGTAGGTTACCAAGCAAAAACCCTACATGGGTAGGAAAATGAACTTGTCAAATATTTCCTTTCTCATACCATAAGTTGTTCATTCTGCAGGTCAGAGAAGCATGAAACATTTTAATAAATGATAAAGAAAAAAAAAACACAACAAAATACCTCAAATTAAAGTGACAAAGAAAAAGCCAAAGCAAACTCAAACAAAAGTGGATAATATATTAGATTACACATTACAAATACATTGAGTACATAGTGACCACTCTGATAACAAATGCCATCCCCATGAATTAATTTGAAACATGTTGGAAGGAAGACATAATCCAGATGCACTTCTGAATATCTTGATTTCTTTATTCTTTTTCACATATTTGTCTTTCTGTAGTCTTCTGTGTGGCTGGCTAAACAGTTTTCAACATAACTTTTCCTGTGGATCATCAGAGATAAAGACATTGATAATACTTATGGGAGTGATGATTAGGTAATTCTGTAACAATGTATGTTTGATAAATCTGGGAATACTTATAAATGCTCTCTCAATCTTTTCTTCTTTATTTACATAGGAAAAATGCACATCTCAAATTAGCCAGTCTATCCAGTTTTGTGAAACTGAATTTTTATGTGATGTGATAATTGTAATCTTGATGTTCTCAAAAATCTTCACGTAAATTTACATGGGTCACTGTTGTTGTAATTTCCAATAAATAAATGAGTAATCAAGTAGTAGATTAGCTCGGAGTCCTTTAGCATAATGGTATTTTCCCTAAATCAAATACCTTGCTCCTTTAGCTTACACTTTACCCTTATGCCCTCAGTATTTGTCAACAAAAGATGGTTATAGCACATAACTTCTTGGTTTCAGGAAGTATTTCATTTGACTATGGATTCTGAGTCTAACTCTTGACTTCTCTCAAAACTATTATTATGACAAACCGTAGAGAAGATATCATTCTTGAGAGTAAAAGTATACTTTATAAATTATCAAGTTCAGGAATTAGTATGGAGTGGCAAAACAAAATATAGAGGAAAAAGAAAAGAATGTTGCCTTAGAAAAGAGTTTCTTAAAGGTCCATCTTTATGGACTCTGCAGCTGATCTTTCTTAGTTCTTTCTAATAAATAGTAAGTCTTTTTGAGTTAGGTAGGCATATAATCAATGGAAGAAGGGAGAATCCATGGACAAAGCTATCAAATTATATAGTGATATGAATGTTTTTTCTGCATTTAGAAGCAAGAAATTGCCTGACAACATTTAGTTTTCTTTTTATTTGCAATATTATTTCTGTACAACTGTTGTTGCAGAAGAAAAGGGGAAAAAAGAGCAAGAAAAGGTACTTATCATTAGCAAGGTTGTTATACATAAATACAGTGAAAACATTTATTCAGTTGCCTAAAATCAGAAAAAAAATATCTCTAGCAGAGAGGAGGGAGGGGAAAGTAAAGACATAAACACACCAGGAGAGGGTACACCCATGTTTATGTTGTGGTAGGCCCTTTTCTAATGCTTTCAGTTTCAGTGGTTTACATCGTGCCTCTGTATCATGGTACAGAAAAAGGTTTATTGCTTCAGATCTCTTACCTTCACTGCCTCCACCCACATAGTTGTCTCCAGCAGAGGAATCCTGATATCCCGTGTTCTATTTTCCTGTAAATACCTTCTAGTAAGTGTGAAATATTTTTTTTTTCCTTACTTTCAAAATGAAGAAAATATGTTGGGGGGTTGTTGTGGTCAAATGAACTCTTTTTAGCAGCACTAAATTGGCGTATCTGCATATTTTATTGGGAGATGAAGACCATGCTGATTTCCACACTGTTGTGGTGAAACTACTACCAGAACACAAGTAAAACTGTCCAAGAGTACATCAAACAATCAGGATTGCACTGAGCAGTAATCACAGTAGAATGTGGATGCACATTG